TTACTCCTTGTCCTGTCCTCTTCTACCACTGAGAATAGTCTAGAACCATCCTCTCTGGAACCACCTCTCAGGTAGTTGAAAGCAGCTATCAAATCCCCCCTCATTCTTCTCTTCTGCAGACTAAACAATCCCAGTTCCCTCAGCCTCTCCTCCTAAGTCATGTGTTCCAGACCCCTAATTATTTTTGTTGCCCTTCGCTGGACTCTCTCCAATTTATCCACATCCTTGTAGTGTGGGGCCCAAAACTGGACACAGTACTCCAGATGAGGCCTCACCAATGCCGAATAGAGGGGGACGATCACGTCGCTTGATCTGCTCGCTATGCCCCTACTTATACATCCCAAAATGCCACTGGCCTTCTTGGCAACAAGGGCACACATATGATTCTATGATACTATGATTCTATGTTAGAGTTGGGATAATAAACGGAGCGATGGTTTTCTCTAAATAAATGGATTCAGTTCTCAGATAAATGGAACTGGTCAAACAGTGTTTGATTAACATAGTACTCAGTAAATTTTGCTGTTTTCCATCAAATAATCTATTCCACGAATATATTTTTGTAGTATTCAATCCCACTTATAGGTATTAAACAATTTTTCCAGTGGTATTTTACAAGCCCTTTGTTTGCAACTTTGCAACAAGCACAGATCACTATAGAGACTGGAACATACTACTACTCATGAATGCTTTGAGAATCTATTACATGGATTTTAACGTGGTTAGAAAAAAAGTTAGGCCATGTATAGATAGATACTCATCTCCCAGACTAACTCCACTTCTTCTCAGTCTCATGCTATTATTAGCCATTACAAGCACACTGAAATATGGACTTCTTGGTTCACTCTTTTCCACTAATCTTATTCACATTATTCCATTAATACACTATTCTGCTAATACAAGTATACAAGGGTATAAGTGTATCAACTCACAACTATCTCTCCAAGACATTCCTATCATATGTCCATCATGTGAAATCTAAATGTATAATGACATTTACAATGTCATTTTTTTACAGTGGCAATTACTCAAGATATTCCACACTAGATATTTAGTTATTAAAAAGCACTAAAAATATGTATTTCAATTAACTATAGCAAAGTGACATTACAGAAGTTCTAAGGGCTTTTATTGTTATTTGGCACAATCAAGTGAACTGAAGTGAACAGAAACTAAAATTAGCAACCCTTAGTCTATGCCTATTGCTTTGGCAATAAACAGCTGAGAAATAATGTGATGATGAGAGATGAATCCTCATTCCTTTCTAAATTCCATCTACTAAATAAATTAGTGGTGTCATCAATATCATTGCTACATTTGCCCTCCACAACAGATGCACTAGCGCTGCTGCTCCTCTTCAGCTGTGACCCCTGCTGCTGCTGAGTGCAGGGGGCTGACTTCAAGAAGATAAGACAGGATGGAACCTGGCCTAGCTCCTAATGCGTAATGCGGCTTCAACAGCAGGTGCAGAATGGCAAAGATGCTAATGCTGCATCTGACAGTGCCTCCTTTGCGTAGGCATGTGCTTATTTATTTATTTAGTATTTAGGACAGAGGCCAAACACAGTTATTGCAAGCCTAACAATACTGTAAACTTTTGCCACAATGTTGCAATGGGGAGCCTAAAGCCTGAACAGAAAGAACCATCTCAAAAGTGGAGAGAGGCATTCAGGAACAAATTTTGAATTTGAAGGCATGGTGGCATTACACTCCTTTAGATTTCCTTAGACCTACTTTCACGTATGCGTTCTAAATGCTCCTGTTAGTTACTTTTCTTGCTACGCTCCCCTCTTCCAGCCCTCCCCATGTGAGTTACACTAACTTAGACCTGTTTAGACTCAGTGGACCTGACTTTCCTATCAACAACAGAAGGAGCAACCTCATTGACTTTAACGGACTTACACCAGCATGAAACTGGTGTGTGAGGTAAATCAAGCCCAGTGGGACAAACTTAGAAGTGAAGTGAGAGGTATGGGTGTAAGATACTCATTAGCATGTGGCTGTGATGCTAAGTAAGTTGAAGAGAGTCTATGGAGGACTAGAGGGCATCCAAGTTTGTGAGCATACAGTTTCAGGATAAGAGAAGACAGTGCAAGTTACACTAATTTAGACTCCCTCTAAAGACTTGCCTGTGCTACAAAAATAAGCTCTTGCAGACAATGTGCATCAGAAAATGATGCAATCAAAGCAGTGTTGACTGGCCACAATTTAAGTGCAGACTAGGAAAACCTGTGTTCAGAACCATTTTGGAAACCCTGGCTGGAACCTGCTTCCTTTTTTACCCTGTTCCTCAATTTTCCCTCTTCTCCTACCATAGTCCCTATACTGCAGCATTCATTCATTTTATTATTTTAAAAACAGAACAAATTGAACACAGTAAAATTTGTAGTATTTTGTTTTGTTGCCAATTTCTATATGCAATATTTTTCTTTTGACACTAGTCTGAGAAATTTCCCCTGTTTCTGTATTCACCATCTGAGTGGGCTGCTGAAATACCAACCTCTAGGCCAGACTGTCATAGGGTTGCCAAGCATCTGGTTTTCGAACAGAACCCCCAGTTGAAAAGGGACCCTGGCGACTCCACTCAGCCCCATTGACCAGGCCACTAAACGTATGGTTGGCCACAGCACCAGCAGGGCAGGCAGACTCCGTGCAGCTCCCGGGAAGTGGCAGGCATATCCAGCTGACTACTAGGGGGAGAGATGGCTGGAGGGGTGGCCAGGGTGGCTCCGCATGCTGCCCCAGGCACCACCACAAGCCCTGGCTCCACAGCTTCCATTGGCCAGAAACCACAGTCAATCAGAGCTGCAGGGGTGGTGGTGCCTGCCGACGGGGGTGAGGCATGCAGAGTCCTCAGGCTGCCCTTCCACATAGGAGCCAGAGGGATATTTTTCCGCTTCCTGGGAGCTGCCTGAGGTCAGTGTCGCCTGGAGCCCACACCCCAAGACCCCTTCAGTGTCCCAACCCCCTCCCCCAGCTCAGAACCCCCTCCTGCACCCAAACTCCCTCCCAGAGCCCGCAACCCAACCCTCTACCCCAGCCCTGAGCCCCCTCCCACACTCTGAACCTCTGGGTCCCAGCCTGGAGCCCCCTCCTGCACCCAAACCCCCTAATACCTTGCCTCACCCCAGAGCCTGCATCCCCAGCTGGAACCCTCACGCCCTCCTGTACCCTCTACCCCCTGCCCCAGCCCAGTGAAAATGAGCAAGTGAGCGAGGGTGGGGGACAGCAAGCAAGGAAGGGAGGGGAGATGGAGTGGGGGCGGGGCCTTGGAGAAGGGGCGGGGCAAGAGTGTTTGCTTTTCTGCAGTTAGAAAGTTGGCAACCCTAGACTGTCAGTTGGTGTAAACTGAAATAGTCCTGTTCATTCAAAAGTGAAATGCTCTCTCCCCTGCTCCTCACCAAATCCCTTAGAGACCTGGAGTACAAAAGGATATCTTTTACCTTTTCAAATGAACAGAATCCTGGATTTAAATAATTTAACAGGGATTTTTTTTTCATTGAAAATTTAATCTATAGAGTATTTATTCTGTCAAAATAGATGGCAGCCAGCTACCATATTGGATAATGCCAGCAGTGTATCTTAAATATAAAATTAATTTTCTACCTAATAACTTAGTCTCTCATGAATGGCAGGAAACAGGACTTTGGTAATCAGTCTTCAAGAACTCCTGCAGTGAATGAATAAAACTACAAACAAAAAAACAAAAAAATGCACCACATATTTTGAGGTATTTTTTACTGTTATTGGTTTTCCTTTACTCTTAACATATATAAATTAGCAATACTACAGCATACTACCTCTGTAGCTTTGCTTTCCCTACTTCATGAGTTACTTAATTATCTCAGACAACACTTAGCTTTGACCCAGATAAAGGTCACTTTCAGTGCTTACTTTATTAATCTTTATTATACACAATTAGCTCAATGTCGCTGTTTGAGTTCAAACCTTCTAAATATTTCTTCCTCTTTTTGTGTTGAGTAATCAAATCAATGTAGGTGAGCGGGTATAAAGTACATTCTTCCCTCAATACAAATGTGTAATTCTTCTCATTAATGGGAAGGTCACACATTTAAAGGGGAACAGTATATCTCAGAGTTATTACTATATAACAGAGACAGCTAACCATATTTTATTCCCTGTAACCTGTTAAGACCGCCCTTATACAAAACTACTGGGAACCTTATATACAGTACGTACAGTCACATATAGGTTGTGTCCTCTACATGGCTATAGCTGAACACAAGCTACTCTTGTGTTTCTAAATTTTTGTCAGTCACACTGATGATATTTATAAAAAATTTCAGTGTGGCTAGGAACCAAGCTGAAAAATGTTGATATTATAGCAACGTCATAAAAGATCTATTCTAGTATTTAAAACAATCCTTTGAAGTCAATGGAAATTTGCCAGAGTAAGGACATCAGGGTTTTGCCCTACTAGCTTGTACGAAATTCTTAAAATAGCCATATTAGAATAAATACCCAGACAACAACAACTTTTGTCTATTCAAAGCTGAATCCTCTAGTATAAGATGTTCAAATACAGATGGCCAGAATTTTTTTTCCATCAGACATTACAAAAAATTCAAATTGTTTTCTATGGTGCTATCTTCACGAGGTAGCTTCCACTGCAGAAAATGAATGATGATGCAACCTTTTGCAGAAAGAAACATGAAATTGGCAAAGTGACTGAAATTTGCAACGTAAGGACAAATTGGCTGCTTGCAGCAAAATTGTGTGCAATTTTGTACTGCGCAAGGTAGAAAAATCACTAATGCATTTTTTTACTTGAGGCATTTTGGAAAGCTAGATGTAGAATCTACCTCTTAAAAGACAAGTCTGCCTAGAAAGAAATGCTTCTTTCCATGGTTGTTTAAAGAGCAGCTTCCCCTCTCACATTACTGTTTCTTGTGGGTTCTATGGTTCCAAGTGGTACTTTACACATGCTTAGCTAAGATTTGTGCATATTTCATATTCATTCATCGATTAAGTTTACTCACACTGTTCTTTCCACTCCTCATCCTCATGTTCATTATGTTGGCTGTGCTGTTGAGCTTGCTTGAGGCTCAAGTACAACTCTTTTGCTCTAAGTTCCTCCTGCTGTCGTATCTGTTCTTCACCTCTTTGCCTCTCTTCTTCCTCTCTTTTCTTAAAAAAAAAGGAAAAGGAAAAAAAAAACATTAGAGAGTAAGTATAGTCCTGTCATTAGTTCAATTTCCTCTTCCTTCATACACTTCCTGTGTGACCTTTGGCAAATCATTTAGTCTCTTTGTGACTCACTTCCCCAACTATATAATGGGGATAACAACATTTCTTACCTACCAGGGGTTATTGAGAGAATAAATACATGAAAAATTGTGAGTGCCCTCATACTACAGTAATGGGGAACACAGAAGCAGCTACGATAGCTAGATCTTCTGATGTTTATACTGAACACTTGCTGTGTCATGTGACACCTCTACCAATGACACGCTACAAGTTGTATATCTGCAAGCTGTGCTATTGTTTCCATACCATGTGCATCCCCACTGGTGACACAGCTTTAATCCCAAAGATAAGTTATTTGTTCTATTGTAGGATCAGCAGAATTCATTAAACCTGCTATAATCCCTTCACTTATTTTCTTGGTTTCATATCCTGAACAAAATACAGTACCAGTATGGCATGACTGTCAAAGAGACCATATTTTCTAGTCTCCGGTTTCCTGATGGCACTCCCCTCTCCATTGTGCAGAGCAAGCTTTGATGCAGAAGAGAATTGATCCCACAGACTTCAATACAATTGCTCACTCATACAACAGGAGTCCATTCCAATAGGAAAAGCGGACAAGGGACATCCCAGCAATTTGTATTATAATGAAACAAGTGATATTTCCTTTGGGGGCAATACAAACATTTCAACAAGCACTTTGTCACAACTCATTCAGCAGTTCATCCTACGTCACTAAAATGGACCCATACCAAATATGGGTTATTCTAGAATTTTAATACTAGCAAATGTGCATGGGTAATAGGATATCAGGGTGAGTAAAATCCAGTGATTTCTTTCTAAGTGTTTACATTGGATTTTTTCATTTAAATTAGGCTTTTCATAATTTCCTTTAATGGACTGTGCTTGTTCAAGGCTTACGGATGGAATTTTCAAAAGGGCTCTGTGTTGATCTAACTCTGCTCCTTCTAGATGGGATTTTCACAATTAATTTCAATGGGAGCAGAACTAGGCCAACATGGAGTCCTTTTGAAAAATTACAGCCTAAAATGAATGTACGACCACCTGTCCCAAGTGCTAAACTCACTAAAACTCACTGAAGCCATTTAAATAGATGGAACATAATCTGTTACATCTGATCAACATGTTCTGACATGGCACATGAGGAGAAATACTTGGGGAATAGTCTAACTTTTCTACTGATCTGTTTTTGTTCTGTTTGGAGTGGAGAAGGGAAGTGATTTTTGGATGAGATTGTGTGTTTTTAGGATATGTTCGTACACTCTGAACTTTGTAGAAAGATATCGCTTATAAATCTGAAAATAAAAACAATTAATTGTATATCTAGACAATTTTCATCACAGCAGGACACATGACATAACCAGAACAATCCACAGCCTATTAATTAAAAACTATACATATATACAAGTGAATGGAAAGATGTTAGAGTTGGGATAATAAACGGAGCGATGGAGTTCTCTAAAACTCAGAGCTTCCATGTCCATACTCCGCCCATCCCCATTGCAGATGCAGAGTTCCCATGCTGAGATATTAGTTTAGCAACTTGGAAGTCTCTCATCCAACCCAACTTGGCTTACCATAGCTTGTGTGAGAAATCCAACAGGATCCCAGATCAAGTCGGACTAACTGCCCTCATGCTAGGTATTTGTTACTCATCATGATCATCTTCTGATGTCTGTGGCTTATTCTCAGTAGTTATTTTTAAATACCTTTCCTGCCAGCAAATTTCAGTGTTTGCAGTTTGCTATTGTCCCTTCATGTGCTAAAACCTGAAGGAGATGTCTAAGGCAGAAAACACTGCAAGGTTCCCTTCATGGGGCTACGTGCAAATTGTTTCATCAGGTGAGTGGAAGGGAGAGGTTACCTAAGAGAATGAGCCATACATTTTGTCAGAACACATGCTGAGCAATCTTGAGAAGACAGAGCTGCTACGCTTCTGTATCTCAGACCTATCTTGAGTAGGCCAGTTTGCACCACTAAAAGGGGACCATTTTCATTATTTATTTGTATTTTGGTAGTGCCATGGAGCTTTAGTATTAATTTGCTCCATTAATTTCTTCAAAGCATTTTATTGAACATAACCATGTTTCTTTTCAATGGAAATTCAGATACTGTCCACTGAGTCACAAATGGTGCAGTAATAAATTGCTTTAGATCACAGGGCTCATTACATGTTAAGCCTTTGCTACTTTTAGTACACTATATTAGATGAAGGAAAAAGGTGAAGTTATTTGTTTTACACAGGAGTGTCAGAAACCAAAGCCACCCTCCAGCCCAGCTCAGCCACATAGTGCTGGAATCCTAGTGACTATGTGCTGCATGTTTGGCCCCACTTCAACCCAACAGTAAAATATAGTGCATTGCATGATATTATACTGCCACAAGGAGAAAAAAATCAGATGATTTATTTAAATGGACTTAGCTATAGAAACTAAAAGAGCCCAATACGACATGTGAAATGTCCTTCAGATTATCCTATTATGGTATCAGCTGGAGGCCTCAGTCAGGTTTAGAGCTCCATTGGGCTACACACTGTACTACCATAAAGGTAGAGGTGGTCCCTGCCATGAAAAGTTTATTGTGTTGAGAGTAGGGAATATGTAGAAATGCAGAAAAGCAAGATTCAGATCTTAGTCACACTGGTGAAATTTGATAGCAACTCCATTTAAGTAAATGGATTTACTCTGAATGTATATCAATTTAACTGTGATTCCTGGTTGGAATGTGGGATTGGGATACTGGACTTTCTGCTTCAGCTCCTGAGTTTAGCACTGATTTGCTGTGTGGGTTTTGATAAGCGTTCAATACTACAAACATGAACATGCTTAATTTTATACCTGAGAGCAGGCCTAGTCAATGCTCAGTGGTACTATTCACATGGATAAAAGGTAAGAGAAATGTCTGCAAGATCTGGGCTGAAGTTGTCTTAGTCATAGTTTTGTCACCTCTGTCATAATTTAAACATCTGATCCTTGGTTGAAAGGTGCTATACAAGTGCAAGGTGTTATTTATTCATTCATCCATCCAGCATTCCACAAATACAATTTTTGTTACGGTAATATCCTGAAAAAAAGAAGAGCTATTCACACATCTAATCTGGTTCCTAAGAAGCCTGCCTGTCCTATATTTTCTCCTTTCAGGCAGGAGAGAGTCAGGAAAACAGCTGTTGCAGCCATTCCATAAGTGTTGGTCTCACAGCGACAGGTCATTGCACGGCTTGCCACCCATAAGAAGAGTAGCAGCTGACTGGAGGGGGCTTCCATTTGGACATGTAAAACAACCTTGTTTCCAGTTGTTGTCACTTTGGATGGGCTATTACCAGCAGGAGAGTGAGTTTGTGTGTGGGGGGGTGGAGGGTGAGAAAACCTGGATTTGTGCTGGAAATGGCCCAACTTGATGATCACTTTAGATAAGCTATTACCAGCAGTACAGTGGGGTGGGAGGAGGTATTGTTTTATGATCTCTGTATGTATATAAAGTCTTCTGCAGTTTCCACGGTATGCATCCGATGAAGTGAGCTGTAGCTCACGAAAGCTCATGCTCAAATAAATTGGTTAGTCTCTAAGGTGCCACAAGTACTCCTTTTCTTTTTGCGAATACAGACTAAAACGGCTGTTACTCTGAAACTTGTTTCCAGGGATTACATTGTTTTCCTACCCCAGAGCAACTTTTGTTACTCACTTCCTTTGCCACCTTATAAATTGTTTGTGAGTAGGGGAGTATTTTTGCCATTAAGATCTGAGGAACTGATTTTTATTTTTTTTTTTTTTTAAAGGAGACTCTTCAAAGCAAGCAGTATTAGTGTGTCATTTGTGACCTTTAAGATCTCAGTGAGGGTCAGAAGAAGTCGTAGAGAGCAGGGCTGCTTGGTTGTTCTGAGCTATGGAGCACACTAAAAAGGTATACTTAAGGAAAAATGACTTATTAGAAAGGATGGAGAAACAACAGTATTAGTTTGTCAAGCGTGAATAAACACAGCCAGGTGTCTTGGGTTTCTCAGGCATGGTTTGTGTAGTGGTAGAGCTCTGTCAGCTGGCTGACTAAGTGTTTATGTCCATTGACATTTCAAAGTGATTGAAAAAAGTAAGCAATTTACTAACTGAAAGCAATTATCTTCAGGGGATGGAAAAGTGGAGCAGATACAAGTCTCTACCTTCTGCAACAACTCAGGTACTTTTCCAGATGGTCTGAAAACTTTTAATGGGCCAGATTCTCAGGTGGTGTAAGTGAAGGCATCCCCATTGCTGTCTGTAGTAGAAAGAGAGCCTGAAATATAAGACCTTGTATCAGAAGCCTGTTGTGAGGAGTAAGGCCTGAACTAAAGTAGTGATAAAGCTTTGCTGATGTAAAGCGAAGAAGCAAAGTGAGCAGAAGTCAGGCTCTGCCTGTTTGCAAGCTCACAGAGTCTGGCAAGAGCAGGGCTGATATTGCAGAAACACAACTTCCTATGAGGTGCTAGGCACAGAGCACTCTCGCAAACACATTCCAGAAGGGTGGCATCAGAACACCTTGATACCAACACATTCCCTAAAGATAACAGGAACACTCTGACCCATCCTAAAAATAAGGTCAGAATGACATTGTGATGGATAGAGATGTACAAGGTGATGGTGGTACTGGCTATGTCAGAGGGTGTCAAATAACTACATCGAAGAGCAGTACGTAACTTATTTCCATTGATGTATAAAAGGGAGTCTCAGAGGGAGTGTCCTTGGCTAACCTAGGGGGGAACAGAAAGTCCCCCCATTCACTGAGCTGTGTCCATTGTAATGGGCATACAGGTATTAGTGGTCCTGTAGAGTCTTTGGGATACTAGGACCATGCCTCATTGACAATAAACCTGGCTGGGTGCCTTCGTACCTTAACGGATCTTGTGGTCATCGGGCAGTTTGCTCGAGGTCTGCTGTGACAACTGTCTG